GATGCATATGCATGATCTCCACCCTTTATTTGTGATCTACAAAACATTACAAATGTGTTTAGCAAAGAAAATCCATCTAAGACTTAGATAAGGAAAGAACTTCTAGAAATCCTTATTCCACTTTCTTTAGTCTTAGTTTAAGTTGTTATTTCTTTGGATGGAAAGTCCTAAAGGAGTTGCCATCATATAACCTTGGACAGAAAAACATCATAGGGAAGACATGCCATATTTTGTTTTGTGACTTTGATCATATGATCACAAATAGTTGTTGTTCAATCAGTTTGAAGTCATCCTTTCATGGCATGAATCAGATAAATGTCCTTTGTGGTCAGTTGAGCATGATTACTCCCCCTAGGCAGTAAGTGAAAGCGTGAATAAAATCACATAATCTATCATCTCTTTTCAACCCTCCTACCCTATACAATGTATAATCCCTGGGCACCTCAGGATTTATCAAGCAGGCTTTGTATATGGCTAACTTATTTACCCTAGACATTGCTAGATGTGACTTATATCCTCCTGGACGTATACCGGCAATAGATGTCCAAACATCTTCATCTAGCCTAATATCCACCCCCTTTACTCTAGAGCATATTGTACCATTAATAACTTTTAGATTTGCATAAAACACTCTTACCAAATCGGGGTACCACTCTCTAGACATTTCTACGAAGCTTGCCAACCCTTGGTACTTCAACCAGTCTTGGAAGATAAAACCATCTGTTTGAAAGAAATTTATCCCCATGTATTTGTAGGAGATGATTTTCTGAATGCGCCAAAAGCATTCAAAATTTGTTTGGGCTCCTTCATCGCTTATCCACCCATTAGGGCTTGCTGATATGGTTTTATGAGCAGCCCTTTTGACGCATTTAGAAGAGGAGGCCATGTTTTTGCAAAAAAAAAAAATGAGAGTTTGTGATGGTAGAAGGAGATTGAAGGTTTGAGAGCAAGGATGATGATTAGGGTTTGAGAGAACTTTGACAGAGGAAGATTTTTATCTTAAGATTCTAAGAATGAGAAGAGAAAAAACATTTTAATTGATTAGGGTTTCGTCCTAATTGATTAAGAGAAGTGGGAAATCTATTTGAATTTGAAAATCCCTTTATGGAGTTGTTTTAACCGATTATGTTTCTAATGTAATCGATTAAACCAGTGACAGACTCCTATTTTCAGCAAAACAGAAAGAACCACCTAATCGATTAGGTTCTTTATGTAATCAATTAAAACTCACAGATTCTGTCAATTTGAATATTTTCACTCATCCTACTTTTATCTAGCATAGAGCACACATCATATCAAGCACAATGTTTATGCAGAATTGAAAATATGCATGTTTTACCAATGTTAAGACTTGTTGTTACCAATATTGATGTCCCTCTAGATGTTATGAACACTTTGAATTATGAGATATGCTTCAACTTTGTGCTTCAACTTGAGCATAGACACTTTCAGTTCCTCTCAATTTCTTGCAAAATAATTGAAGGATTAAGATGTAGGTGCCCAATTGAATTTAGGTCCTTTTATGTTAGGGGGTTTTGGTGATTCCTTAGGAATCGATTTAAATTTGCCTTTAGGTACACCAACATTTCTATAATAACAAGATTTTGATGCATGACCAATGTGATTGTAGTAAAAGCATGTTGCGGATAAAGGTTTGATCACGTCAACAAATTTTTTAGCCTTCATTTTACTACTTTTATCAGTATAGCCAATTCCTTGCTTTTTTTAGCATGCTTCTTTGTGATCCAAGTAAAGTTTCAAGGTTTGAACTACCTAGAGTGAACTTAGACAAAGTGTTCATGAGGTATTCAATTTTTTCCAAGTGTCTTGGACAATTTTCACACTCTTGAGCACTTACTTTGCTCTCTTCTATTTTTTGACTACGTGCATATTTCAATTCTTCCAGTTCAGTTTTCAGATTTTTATTCTCTTTGTCTAGGTTGTGTAATCTGCTCTCTAGACACCTATTTTCACTTTTGAGCCTATTATTTGCATATTGCATTTTTCTAGCTTCTTCATGTAATTCTTGGAATGCATCAAGGAGTTAACAATACCTGTCTTTTATGCTTTCATCTTCAAAGTTGTCACATTGCTTTCTGAAGATATTGAGCTAGCCATCAAGCATAGATTTGTTACCTCTTCAATGCTCTCACCAGATTCACTTGAGGAAGAGCTTCAGGAGCTATCTTCCTAGGCTATATAGGATTTTTTCATTCTCTGGTTTTTGTTGTCTTGATGGTTCTTTTCTTCATGCTTTTGCTTCATTTTAATTAATGGACATTCAGGCTTAATCTGTCCAACCTTGCCACATTCATAGCAAGTTGGTGCAACATCAGATTTTCTTTTTCTTCTATTTGACCTTGTATTCTTGCAAAATGAGAGTTAGCCTTATTTTTGAATTTCAAGAATTTCGAGAACCTTTTTACCACGAAACTCATTGCTTCAGCGTCTGAATTTTCAGCTTCAAGATCATCTTCAGCCTCATGCTTTCTTGAACAAGTTTGATTTGTTGTTCTTACAGCAGTCTTGAGAGAAATTGTGTGCCTTTACTTTCCTTCTTCTTCTTCTTTCAATCTTCCTATCTCTAGTTCATGTTCCCCTAGCTTTCCAAACAATGTAGCCATATTCATAGTAGTAAGATCTCTTGATTCTGAGATGGTTGTAACCTTGGGTTGCCAATTTCTGTTTAGGCTCTTTAGAATCTTGATATTCAACTCTTCCTTATCAAAAGTCTTTCCAAGAGCAAGAAGGTGATTTACTATGTGAGTAATCTTTTCTGCACATCATATATAGTCTCATCATTCTTCATCCTAAACATCTCATACTCTTTAATCAAAGATTTCTCCCTAGATCTTTTTACCTCATTTGTCCCCTCATGTGTTACCTCTAAAACATCCCATTTTTCTTTTGCAGTTTCAAAAACCGAGATTCTATAGAATTCATCAATTCTAAGTGCATAGGAGATGATATTCTTAACCCTCACATCATAATTAACTCTCTTGCTTTCTTCTGCTTTCCACTCATAGAAAACTTTAGGTTTGGTCTTTCCATTTTCCATCTTGGTTGGTTCGTTCATAGGGTCCATTGATCACGACATCCCACACACCTTTGTCTATTGATTCCAAGAAGATCTTCATTCTAATTTTCCAAAAAGGATAATTCTCACCCACAAATAGAGGTGGCCTATTTGTGGATGCACCTTCTCCAAAAGTTTAAGATATACTAGCCATTTGGATCTTGTTCAATCTATTAAAATACGATTTCCAGCTCTAATACCAGTTGTTAGAAATAAGAGCCCTTATATCCTAAGAGGGGCGGGTGAATTGGATTTAAACATGTTTTGAAAATATTTTTTAAATCTTTAAAGAGTTCTTGAATTCTTGAAATCAATAACCAAAGATTAAATGAATCAACTAAGTAAAGAAATATCAAAGAAAGATCAAAGTACACAAAGATTTATATTGGTTTAGCTTCTCACAAGCCTAAATCCAGTCTTCTCCCAACAACTTGGTGTGCTACACAATGTAGAAATCAAAGATAAACTGATTAAAACACATTCCTATAGTGCAAATATATCAATACAAGTGAACTCCACTTGATCTTGAATGAAATCTTGATGCTTGATCACCCAATGAAGCTTGAATTTCTCCAAGAACAGTTCTTGAGAGACCGTATACTAAAAACTCAGAAATAAAGTCATGTCAATTAAAATCGTTAATGAAACAGGTCTCCAGTCTGGTTTATATAGAAAAACCAAATCCGGACACAAATCGATGTTATTAGCATAATCTATTATACTTTTCTTTCTGTTTTAACAGATTATAACACGTGTATAATCAATTACTTCAACATTTATGCATATAACTACCTCTTTTAACTAACCTAACATATTAGGTTATTTGTATAATGGATTAGACATTTCTTTCTATTTTAATCAATTATGGAACTTATATAATCGATTATTTTGCCACTTAGCCTATTTAGTCATCCATTTGCCTTTCTTAACAGATTATCTTATCTGTATAGCAGATTATGCCTTTCTCTTTGTTTTAATCGATTATGTAACTTATGTAATCGATTATAATAGAGTGTTTTGCTCCTGTTTAGCTTTCTAAGTATTCTGACTTAATCTAATGGATTATACCACTTATGTAATCGACTATTATTACCAGAAACTAGATTTTAAATATGTTTTAGGCTTATTTCCCTAATCATTAATGGATTAATACATCTAACACTAACATGTTAATGATCTAAACATTTGTTATGTCATTTTGTTGTGCAAGAATGATTAAAACCATTTTCAATCATTTAAAACTATTCATCATCAAAAACCAATATATGTAGAGATTATGCTCCCCTATCAACAAGCACAATGGACGAAAGGAGGATCTTGTGGATCAATAAAAAATGGAGAAGCATCCCATGAGCCGGCAGTAGCAGCAATGGAGAAGAAGTTGCAGATAAAATTTCCTGATACCATATCAGACTTTCTTCAATGGTGGAGAAAGAGACAAAAGAGCAGAGAGAAGGAAGAAAAGAAGACAACAAGCAGAATTGTGCAAATATATTTCTATCAGAGAAAGGTGAAAAACAAAAGGGTATATACTTCAGCTTATCAGAGAAACATACAGAAAACAACAACCTTATAACAAGCAACACAGAGTACATGGGTGAGTTAATATAAGTTATAAATCGGAGTAGTATAATTACTTAAGTTTCATTTAAAGTATTAGTGTTTGGTTCTCCCCTTTAATAACTAGGTTTTGAATGTGAGTTTCTCAGATGTTGGGATGTTAATCAATTGCAAATATTGACTGTTGAAGGGTTCTAAAGAACAAGAAGTCGAGTGAAGTGTTGCCAAGTATTATAAAGAATGAGCCAAGAAGTCCATTGAAACTTGAGAGTTGGTGACAGGTTGATCAAGAGTTCAAATTTAAAAATAAATAAATAAAGTCTATTGAAAAATGCACATTTAAAAAAAAATAAAAAAACTGTAGTAGTTGTATCATTCTCTTTTTCTTTTCACCACCAATTGCATAGTATTCGGTTACAGTTACAAGTATAAAATTTACAAGGTCCCAAATGGGAAGTGCAGATACTAGCTATGTCCCTAGTAACTTCCTACCTTTATCATCTATCAAAATCTTGGTGCAAAATATATTATAATTACATTTTTCAGAATATATGAAGGAGGATGGCACAGTACAGCATCAGCGAGGAACAATGGTGGGAATGACATCACTGACAAGATTGCTTCCAGACACATATGAGGACATGTGTTGCTCCTCCCTTGCTACATGGGATGCTGATGTTGATGCTGATGATGAGGGTGGTGCTATGTTGCCAGAACTGTCTAAGCTAACATCTGAGTAAACAGTTTCAGCTTCAGGCAACATTGCAATGATATCTTCCAGTGTCCTCACCACATCTATCATTGATGGTCTCTCCTCTGGATTGTCTTGGCAACAACTGAGGGCCAGAGTTAAGAATTTTTCCAAGCATTCAGATGTATACAACCCAATTCTGCTGTCTATGATGGAAGATACTGTGCCAGATTGATGAGCCATGTTAACCTGACATAAAATTGTGCACCATTATTGATAACTTGTTTGATAAATTGATATATGTAGTATTTCTGTGTGTATGGCTTGTGAATAAATCAGATATAGGAGAATTCAAATGTGCAGGCAGTAGAATAAAATTCTTATGATTAGTTTACTATTCAATGTTTTTGATGATTTAATGATCAGATAGAGACAGAAAAGTAGTGGACTGATGAAAAAGAAAGGTACCTCGCGAACAATGTTTTTTCCATGAGAAATTGGTTGCATGCCTGTTAAAAGCTCTAGATACACAATTCCCAGGCTATAGACATCACATTTGTCTGTCAGCTTATGAGTCAACAAATATTCTGGGTCCAGGTAACCCTGCAGCAAAATTACAAAGTAATCATTACATTCTGACTGTAGTGCCTTTCAGTATTACAGAAAAAATGTACAAAAATCAACCATCAACAAAATATCAAATGATAACAACAAATTTAAACTACATTACAGTACATAAGAATGAAGACTAATAAATGCTTAAGGACACGGTTAAGAAAATAGAAATATAAATCTTTTATTGAAGAAAACCATTTATTATGAATAATGTTAAAGTGATTTAATACTTTTTTTAATGGATAATATAAAGCACATGATGCTGATATGAAAACAAAACTTAGATGTAGCTACCTTGGTGCTATTTAATTATTAGAATTGTTGTTCCATCTCAGTAATTCAAATAGATCTTTATTGCAAACTTTCATTATCCAAATTACCGAGGAGAAACTCCAATTCTAATAGGAGAACAATGCCGAAAGTATAAGAAACTACATCTAAATATACTATACTTAATGCCGCTTGACCAGAAAGACCAAAAAACTAAAAAGAAAAATGACAGTGGCACAAGGTGGAAGACGCTTAAGCTAATCAGGAAAAGGTAAGTGAGGTTTAAGCACTATGAAGAGGCCCACAAAAAAGCTTACAACAATTAGGGTGTGAGGAATATTACAAGGGTAAGATATTGCAAGCCTGAGAACTTTCATAATTATTTTGCCAAATTTGAATGAAAGGTATCGGTTGAATAATCCATGTAATCAGAAACTTCACAATATAACTTCAGGTCTTATATATCTGGAATTATTCCTTAATTCTAACAGACTTACTGGAGTTCCTCTCACAACTGTTGACACATATTTAGGAGCAGTTCCCTCTTCATCTAAGTCTGGTACAAGCCGTGAGAGTCCAAAATCGGCCACTTTAGCTGTAAACTTGGAGTCAAGAAGAATGTTACTGGCTTTAATATCTCTGTGGAATATAGGAGGGTTAGCCTCTGTATGAAGATACAGTATGCCTTTGGCTGCTCCCATTGCAATTCACAACCTCGTACTAAAATTTAGGCTCCCCTTCGTTTTTCTACTTCTTCCTGCCACACCACAGTATCTATTAACTTATAACATATCTTTATTACATCATAGAGAAAATCAACAATCTCATATTAAATCACTGCATTAACATTGCTTTTCCTTTCTTTCTTGAAATTTTCTTTCTTTTTAACTTCTAATTTGTTCTCTCTACTTACAAGGATGAAATGACAAAACAGTGATGATGAATTATATTAGTTACTTCCATTGTGATCATGATTTCTTTTGTTTAAGACCACAGCCTCCTCAATTAGAAGTAAAAGATGAAACTTTTGCAGTGTATTCATGGAAAATGAATTTTTAACTTATTGAAAAGGGTTTTTCCTCAATAATTCAACAGAAGCGTATCAACTATAAAATAGTCTCACAAAAAGCTATTAACGTTGCTATACAAATCCTAAACATTTACCAAGAGATATTCTAAATTGCATGACCATATAAAATATTTTTATAACTGGAGCCCAAAACTGGAAAGCAGAAAACATGTCGGGGGAAAACAGTTATTGTGCACAATTTCATACCAGAAATCCAGTCCCTTAGGGTGCCATTGGGCATGAATTCATAAACCAGCATCTGAATCAACAGAAAGAATATATAAATATATATATGAGAATACTATTGAAAAGTCAATGTCAAGTGCAAAGCTAATACAGCAAGAATATCGTACTCAGATTATATTGGGGTTCCAAATTAAAAAAATGTACAAAATCAAGAAAAGAACTACGGTTCAAATTGGCATAACGTAAATATCTAGTATTCAACACAGAAATCTGCTAGCATTCAATCGGTTTGCTCCTTATTAGCGCTAAGTCCATCTTAGCTCACAGACTAAGATATCTAATTAACAATTAGATCAATCTTTATCTAATACCATTATTGTTTAATCGTTATTCAGATTCAAGCAGAACAAATTATTTTCACATTCACTATAAGCTAGATACCTGTTCCCCTTCTTCATTACAGTATCCAATCAGTGAGACAAGATTTCGATGGTGTAACCTTGACAGAAGCTCAATCTCTGTCAAGAACTCCCTTTGTCCTTGTAAGGAACCTTCTTCTGCTCTCTTAACCGCCACAAAATTTTCATCAGATAAAATGCCTTTATAGACATTCCCATAACCTCCTTGACCGACTTTAGTTGAGATATTGAATTTGTTAGTAGCAAGAGCCAGTTCTTTGTAAGTAAATGCTTTCATGCCATCTATTTTGAGGGATATATTAGTAGTAGCTGCAAAAGAAATAAACATTTTAAACCTATTGCTTAAAAAAATAATCCAAACTGAGACAATCAGCAGAAAGCTTTAGAATACTTGCACATACATTTCCTGGAAATCTTCTTCTGGTATTTCATCTTTCTTCTAGTAATCAGGAGAATGATTATTGCAGATATTGCTAAAGCACAGGCAGCAGCTGCTATTACAACAGCAACTTTTATGCCAACATTAACTTTTCCCTTCTCCGAATCAATAATTACTATAACAATAAAATGAAAGTTAAATTAGAGAAACTCAGCAGAGAGCGTAAATTTATTAACCAAATTTGAGTTGCCAAAAATTAACATCAGTTATGAGATGTACCCTATCTAATTCATCAGCATAAATGCTAATGCTAGACAGAAACAAAGGAAAACTATTTCCCCGTTTACTCCTATTTTTCTAGGATCAAGATACTTACCTTTTATTTTTTCTTTTTCTAATGAAAGGATTAATATCTCAGTTAAAGAAAGGTATATAAAAGAATAGAAAATTTAAACTAATATGAATATGAGAGTAATATATATAGTAAGACTGTATAATCTCTTTGCAGTCTGCATATCATATTGCCAATCAGTTCTACCAGCAGAAAATAGTATTTCTTGTAGAATTGTTGAGCTAAACAGTACACCCATTTGGTGAGATGCAATGATAATAATATGGTTAAGTGAGCACGAATTTATTATTCATTCTATTACATAACAAAATGTTATAACATGTTGAGTTTAAGAAACTTACAATTTTCATAAGGTCCAAGAAGAGTGAAGTTCAGGAGTTCATATGGTCCAAAAAAATCAGTGCGAGGAAATCGCCATGATGAGAATTGGCGGCTAATCCGACGAACCTCACTTACATTGAACACATTAGAACGGGAATCATTATAGGAAGGGAAGAGTTTCAAATACATTCTAAGACGAGGTCCCTCTTCCCAAGCTACAGAATCTACTGATAGTTGGTAGAGGTGTAGTTTTAGGGAGTCAGTTATGTAGTGTTCAAAACTAGATCTATAGGGAGCAAAGTAAGAAAAACTTGGACTTTTCAGCCTGTATCCAATTCTCAGAGGTGCAGCACAATAGCAAGGAACTGGGGAATTAGGGGCGTATTCATAAAAGTCATCAAATGGACAAGATTGAACATGACAAACGGTAGAGCTTGTTAAGTCTTGAACTGCCTTATCTTCTTCAGGTCCACAATATTTAATAGCACTTTGTGCGTTGGAGTTCTTGCATATAGGATTACCAGAAAGCCTTCAAGGAAAAGAGGAAGAAATAATAAGAAATGTATGCCACAACAAAGGCAAATCATAGCTTTGACATTGTTTTTCATAGTAAAAATGAATCATAGAATAAAAATTAAGCAGAAATATATGTATATAATATCACGAACATGATATGAACCAGAGCCATAGAGAAAGAGTAAATCAGATAATGTGTTTACATTCCATGTAACGAAACACATGTAATAAGAATACCTCAAGGTAACATTTGCCGGGGGGTTCAGATTTCCCGAAACATCCTCAAATGAGTTGTTATGGAGATCACTGCAAGAATAAGACAAACATAAGTTGACACCGAAAAGAAGGCAATCAATATACTAGTTTAATGCAAAAAGTCGACATTCCTTGAGAATGAAAAAATAATTTAGATAAAGAAGTTACATCATAAGTTTATCTTTCACACTGAAGGACATATTCTGCCATATGCTAGCAGGGATGGAACCCAACAGTAAATTATTCGCAAGTGACCTGTGTTTGGCAATGAAACAAAAGATTCAACCCAATGTGCAAAGAATTGAACTTGTATAAAAGTGTCTAGATTATACAAGACTTCAATATGTTGTTATGTAACAATTGGATAAAATATTATGTGAAAAGAAGGTTGATATTCTCACAATTTTTGAAGATGAGGATAAGAGTAGCTTCGAGGAATAGATCCGTTCAGAAGATTATTGGACAGATCACTGCAATTGAGTGAAAATAAGCACATTTCTCAATATTATTATGCCTTGCATTAAGTTAAATAAATATTGTGAAATAGATAAGGAAACCAAGAGCATTATAAATAGAAAATACATAGAAAAGTTGGGCTATTTGCATACATAGTTGTCATATTGTCTGCCAGCTTATTTGATGGTAAGGGTCCAGTGAATTGATTCCAGCTAAGATCTCTAGAAAAAATAAACCAGTCACAAATGAGTTGGTAGCAAAAAAATAGGATATGATTTCACAACCATTCGGCACAATATAAAGCAATAGGTATCATCAAACATACAAATAGGTAAGCTTGGGTATTGAACTGAAATCAGGAATAGCTCCTCGCAGACTGCAGTTTCTTAGACTTCTGTTAAATCAAAGGGGAAATATTAGCTAAAATAATCAGTCATTTAATATGTGTAACATCCTACATTAAGAGAACAAAATAAAATAAAAGGACAAGTAGCTAATGCTAAAAATACTTACAATTTCACTAGCCTGGTTAAGTTTGCATAGGTAGAAGGAATTCCATTCCCGCTAAAGTTGTTGTTATCAAGCTGGCTGCAAGGGAAACAAGTAAATATGAAATCAGAAACTGCATCTTAAACCCTTTTTCTGGCCAAGGTGAAGTACTCATGAAGTTATGCAAGTATCATGAACTTGTGGCGACAATAAGGAAAATCCTTTCTCCTAAACTCTTAAATCAGCCTAAACATTTTCAGAAGAAAAGACACAATGTTATACATTTTTTGTTTTTTCATTTAATCCTCCATGGATCATCCAGAACTCTACAGTCATAATCTTATTATAACCTTTCTAGTAAACATGTATATCTATATGTTCATGAGCCATTTGTTTAAATATCATGAGAAATCTGGCTTATCATAGCAGAGCATGATTTTATCGTTTCACTAATCCTCTACCACAATTTAAGCACAGCCTGTCAATTGCAGTAATATATAAATGTATAATATGAAGCTGATAATTGAAACAAATCTAAAAGTTGGGAAGGAGAACATACAGTATTGCCAATCCATTTAACATGGAGTATTCTGGTGGAAGATTTCCAGATAAGTTATTGTTGTCCACAAGCCTATAAAGTCATTTCAACCAAAACAAAAAAACTCAGTGCAAACTTGTAAAAAGGGTCAATCCGGAGATGCACCCCAAGATGCAACAGAGGATTTGAAACACTGTAAACGTAAAAAAGAATGACTTCAATACTCACAAATGCATCAGATTTGATAACTTTGAAAGTGTAGATGGAAGTTGACCACTAAAAGAGTTGTTGTTCAGGTGACTGAAAATATACGAAATGAGAAGGATAAATTACATGTAAGAAATCAACCTCCAAGTTGAGTTGATAGTTGTTTGGCTAAGAGCTCCACTCACAGGTGTTTAACACTAGTCATGTTGGCAAGTGAATCTGGTATAGAACCAGACAATTGGTTTTCGTCTACTTGGAATCTATTTAAATTTGGAAGGTTGCCAAGCTCGTCTGGTAAACTCCCAGATAACATATTGCCATTCAAGAGCCTGCATAGAAAATACATCAGAATAACTCTTCCTGTTATAGCAGAAAAGAAAAACCATACATATGTTGGAAACAGTATTTGCTCTGTTTGTATGGTTGCATCATAAACTTTCATTAATTACAGCATTAGTATGTTCCTTGTACTGTATATTTCAGCCAATTAGACTCATGAACTGAACTTCAAAGTTAAAATATGTTTATTCATAACAAATAAAACTAAGCAAAGTCCAAATTTAACTCCCAATACATGGATGGCCAATTAAGATCCACCCCTTGAAAGAAATACACCATATCAAGCAGGACAGACAAGATCACCTTGAAATAAAAACTTGATGAGGATCAATACTAATATTTCATCTTCTATGTTAAAGTTCTTACAAGAGTTTCAATGTTTTAATGTTTCCAATCTCCTTTGGTATCGTGCCTGTCAGATTGTTCCACATGAAATCCCTTCAAGCATAAAACAATGAAAATATTAGCATGCCATAAATATTATCACTGTTTCTTCTGATACATAATTTGTTTCTAGAGATCAAAGAAAATGACGAAACTTACATTATCTCAAGATGGGATAGCTGACCAAGCTGAGATGATAGACTTCCCGAGAGATTCATTGTCATTAAGTAGCTTCAGTAAAATTAGATAACACAAAACAATCAAAATTTAGCAACCACTCGAATGTAAACTCAGTGCTATATGTAAATAAATAACCCTTTACTGTATCTAAATTATAACATTGAAATTAAGAACAAAAAGAAAATAGAAAGAGAAAAGGTCCATACATCTCACGAATATGGAAATACCCATCATCCCCCGTCTTATCAAAACACCATACCCCAGTCCAGTTTCTTGCACATGGGTCTCCTTTATTCCAGTTCTTAAGATTGTTCTTAGGATCAATCAAACTTTTCTTGATGTCTATCAGCGCATTAACTACAAATAGGAAAACATACAGGTTAATCACCAAGGTTAAAACTTTTGAATACAAAAGCAAATTACAAGTATCAGATAAAGGAAAGTGAAATTGTATAGTCTCAGAACACTTTCTCTCTAACTTAATCATTATAAAAATAAGATATTCATTTCTATCAGAAGGGGAAAAGAGGGGCAACATATCCCTCCCTATTTTCCAACTTAGACTGAAATTTCTACTTGAGCTCTCTTGTATAGTGTCTAAAATCACAGGCCAGAAAGAACAAAGTGAAAAAGAAATATTGAAAAACTTTGAAGGTGTAAAGCATATTCACCTTCTGAAGGGTCTGTTCGTCGTGATGCTGCTATGAAGGTGATAAGACAAAACGAAAGAGCCAAGGCATATCCATGAATTCTCAGAGCCGGCATCACAGTATATCCTGAAAAGCAACCAAATGGAAGGGATGATGAATAAAGGGGGTATTGAAATTGGAGCATTGCAAGGAATAAGATTCATTCACAACACACATTCAAAAAACAAAATGAATACTTTATTGATCTAAAATCTCATAAAACAGGAAAAAGTTAGAACTTCAAAAATAGTGAAAGTAGAAACCCGGTCATGTATGTCATTTTCTCAAGAAACATCAATGAAACGTAAAAGTAGAAAAATAAAAGAAGCATCATACAATAGCTCTGGCTGATTTCTCTGGTTGGAAAATGGTAGGAAGTTCAAAGTTGCCAAACTTGTCAGACTTAACTTTCCCAGATAATTAAAACCCAAAGTTATAACATTGAAGTTTTTGGCCGTAAGAGAATCATACACCACAGCAGTCAATTATTGCAATGAAATCCTTATCCAAAAATTCAGAAATGACAGAGAGAGAGAGAGAGAGAAAATCTGACTTTGGAAGGTGGGGTGGGGTGATTGAAATGTCAAAACTTGCAAGAGCGAACCTTGAAATCTGAAAAGTGAAGTGAAAGGCCTTCTTCAACAATGAACGAAAATCCGAAGTCAAAAAGAAAAAGGCCGTGGGGAACTTATTAGCTAGATCATTCTGTCACCATGAGATAATAATAATGATAATACTTAATCATTCATTGAAAACTTATTTTTGTGCTTTCATGTTTCATTAGTCTGCTGATTAAATTAAGATGAAAAAACATCTTCGTCAGTTTCTGAGATGGCACTGTCGTTGTGGTTGGTGCATCCACTATCCAATAGTCAAACACACCAAACCGGAACACGCTAATATCATATCATATTCATATAATAATCAAACACTTTCCATCTTTTTTACGCCCGCCAACTCCTCCACCTCCTTTTCAAAAATATCGCAGTAATTCTTTATATCAACAATTACTCTTATTATAACATCTTTCATATGTAATATTTTCACTTTATATATAGCATTTGTTTCAAATCAATTCATTCAATAAAAACATATATTGTTAACGTTTCTCATACATGAAGTATTTATTATTAAGATTAATAATCGTGCATACAATTTATAGTTGAATGACATTATAAAAAACATTTATATATTCAACACGTATATTTTTTTTCTAACAATAATAATAAGAGTTTGTTATTGAATATAAAGTAAATATTATAAAATTTAATAACTCAATATATATATATATATATATATATATATAATATTTGAATAAATAGAATATTTAATACTATTATGGTAGTATATTTATATAATACATATTCTATTTTTTTCCATTGCATTGACTTTTGTATTTAAATATAATTTATTTTTTTTAAAATACAAACTAATTATTCATCGTTTAAACTATATTTATATCGTAAGTTTTATTATAAAATTTTAGGATACAAAATAAATATTCAAATAAAAAATTATGTATGTTCTATCAAAATTATATTTATTAAATATTTTGTTCATATATATATATATGAATAAGATGTGTTTATTCAATCTATTACGTAATTAAATAAAATATATTTAATAATTTGATAAATGCAGTCCACAATTATTCAATATATTAATTTCATAAATTTAAATTCGTCTGTTTATGTTATTAAATAAAAATATTATTTACTGGTTTGAGTATTTAATAAAAAGGTTAAATTTGAATTTATAAAAAATTCTATTAAATTTGATAGATTAGTCTATTTAGTTATTTAAATATATTAAATTGAAATTTTATATTCAATATGTTCATAAATTAAAAAATTAATAAAATAAATATTTAAAATTAAAAGATAAATTATTGATAAGATAACACAAATTTTATTACAATTTATTGAGTTTTTATTTAAAATCTACACTCTAAATCACATATTATTGTTTCAGTTAAATATTTAGTATATGATTATATTATATAGTCCAAAGATAAACTTCTAAAGAAAAACATAACATAAAAAAATGCCTATTTACTATTTTTAAAGACCCATATTGCTCTTATAGATTGATCTATTGGCGTATCATACATAATCGTAGAAAAAATAAATATAAGAAGAAAATAATTTTCAATTAAATATATAATAGTTAACATCAATTCACACATTAAGCTTATTAATGATTATACTGTCATACAAAAGACTAGAAACGTTAGTGATTAATAATTTTTTAATATTTTTTAAAGACCTATAAGTTATTAAATAATATTTAATAATTTATATGTTTAGTTTATTTGTATATCAATTTATATATACATTGTATAAAGACGAAAACTCTTTAATTGATTGTTTCTCTTTTCAATAAATTATCTTCTAATAGAACACATCACTTAACCTGAAGTCTATTAAACACTTTAACTAAATATTAAATAAAAAGTAGTTTTATAGTTTTTATAAAAAGTAATTAGTCATACAAATGTTAAATATGTGATTAAACTTTAAACAAAATATTAAATAAAATGTATTTTTATAGTTTTTTATAAAAATAATTAGTTCATACACAATGTTAAATATGTGAATTAAATGTAATAAAATGTTAAACATGTAATTAAACATAGCTTTCAATTAATAAAATATATATTATAATAAGAGATTGTCTCAATAAATAAATATCATCTAGTATATATATATATATATATCATATTAATTACAATTATCTAAAAAAATAAATATTGTAAAAAGTGTAATATAAAATAATTAAGAATAATTTAGAGTTTCTAAAAACTCATATACATGATAACTATTAGAAACTAAAGAAGACTATCATTATCTCCTTCCATTAAACGAAACCTTAGTCACATTATGAAGATGACGAAGAATAACAACACAGAAATAGATTGTTAGCGTGTACAAAGAATTATTTTAAAACATGTAAATCATATCAAATATAACCTAAGCATGCATTAAATACAATAAATCATATATACACACAAATAGTTCAATACTAAGCTTAATTATCCAGATACATGTCTTTAACATAGAATTTATTGTAGGCTTGCACTTGTCATAGATATTTATGTTTTGCAGAGTCATAGACAAAAAAGTTATCATTCTACTACTCATAAGGTTAGTTCATTCGCACCTAACACAAAATGATCAAATGATGCTAGGACCTCCTACAGCTCTCACCACATAAGTAATTCATTATATTTGAGTGTGAATAATTATTAGAGTTCAGAATAATTATTAGAGTTTAGAATACTTTCTTACTAACCTCTCATATGTCAATTCATACACTAATGTCATCACCACAAGGAATTTCTCCTTAAAATTTCTTCAAACACCATCACCACACATAAAATCTATTATAAATCTATCTCAAATAGCCAAAGAAAAAAAAATCCAACATACAAATTGATGCTCAAATGTAGTGCTCAAAGCCAAAACTTCGCAAGAATAGTGCTCACAACGACAATATACGACGCTCAATGTCATTCTTCTCGCAAAAGGTTAGACTAAGCGAAACTTTTTGTTGCTCAGCGTATTGGACCTAAAAAGCTCCAGGCTTGTAGTATAAAAGTGGTGCTTAGTGGTGCTTTGTTGCCACTCAGTACCAAAACATTCACAAAATACAATGTTTAGTGGTACAAAATAGTGCTCAACAGTCTGAAGCTAATATGTTCCCAGACCTACACAATGAGGCTGGCGCTCAGCATCAGTCTGTCACCTCTCAGCACTAATTTGTTGCCTCTCAATGGTATACCAAATATCAACAATTTCATTTTGTGTTTTTTAAGAAACTTGGATCTATTTAATCGATCAAATTGATATTCCTTTCTCAATGCATTGGTTCAAAACAGTTTTAAGCATGGAAACTCATACCAATTTGTCTTATTACTCAAATTGTAAACTTTCTCAATCACACAAAACCAAGCAAAAATAATCAGGCACGAAACAAACTTCCAAACCATTCAAATCAATTCACTCATACTCAACAATCACATTCATTAACATGCAAAACATCATATTTATCAAATTTATGCACACAAAACAACTAGCTTCCCTTACCTAACCCAACAACTCACAAGATCCTAACTAAACGACAACTCCTTTCCTCCAACTTGTAGTAGATATCTGTTAGGATAATTTGATCAGTGAGAGTTCATATAGATGCTAAAACACCCTGCAAGTGGAGAATGATCATATGCAATAAATAACACAAAAGACAAAAAAAAATATGGTTGAAAGTGAGCTTACTTAATAGAGAACTAATCGATTCAAATTGAAGAGCTTGATCCAGGGATCAATCTAAGTATGAGTTCTTCAATCAGACGAACAAAAAGAAATAACTCTTCGAGATAAGTTAGAGAACTCTAGAAAAATAATTTCTAAAAATATTGTGTTTTAAAATAATGAAACTCTCTCCAAACAAAACTATTTATATTATAACTTTTTAATATTAAAAAATTACTTTTAAACTAATGTTATTTTTATAATGTCATTTTTTAAGTCTTTACTTTCAACGTTAGAATTCAACCAAAAATAAAATAACTTCAATATTTATTCGTTACCTTGTTCCATATTTGACCATACAAAATAAATTATTTTTGTCTAAAATCCACAAAATACTCTTTCCATCTTAAGTAAACTAAATACAAAAAATTAATATATCTTTGTTACACAAGTAGGACTAATTCCTTAAAAACCTAAAATAGATTTAAGTCTTAATAATGTAATCAATAATAAGTATTTTAAATGTTGTCAAATAAATGAAAACTTTATCTTTGGCATATTTTTCATATGTGAATTATATATGTTTTGGTATTGAAATATACATATCCAAAAAGTATTACATCGAATAATAACACAGATGTTTTGTGACTTGCCTAATTAAAAGGACAAATTTCATTCACCATCACATTTTTTGGTATTCGACATTTCCGGTATTATTTTAAGATTTAATAGTATCATGTCACTAAGACTTCTTTAATCAAAGTAACATTTTTCTAACCCACACGTTCTGATTGTACATTTCTACCACCGATTAATTAATCATTTGTAAATATACTCTCTAGTATATTCATTGTCTAAAAATAGTATAGATATATTTCTTTTATTTATTTATTTATTATTTTTTAAGTTTAAAATAAGTTGAAATTTGTTATTTTAAACTTTAATATTTAACTAATATACATATATTTATTTATGACAGAAAATGTAAAATGGAAAGACCCTCTAGTTATTTTATTACATCTTTGAGATGTTTTATAAAAGCGAGGGTC